TATATATATATATAAATATGATACGATAAAATTTCTTATCTCTTTAACTAAAAGAAAGTGCAATCGACGGATTTCTTTTATTATTTTCTTGGCATTGCATGGCGAAACTTTTAATAAACATTTCTTTATATCATTCAATATAGGAGAAATTATTTGATTAAATGACAGTGGCAAAAGTCTTGTTAAAGTTTGGCATCGTGTTTACACATAGAAATTTCCTAATAAAACCTGAAGATATTCTAAGAAAAATATCACTAAATACACATATATAATACTTTTTGTGGTATCCTGGCTTCAGAGTTTAACAAAATAAATAGTCAATTTAGGATCTCCAAATCAGCACAAATATAATATATACTCCAATTGTATTAAACATTGTTATAAGAAATTATTCAGTATTTGCAATTTATCCAATTTTTTATAATAAAGCCAAGAAATTTGCTCAAATTACTTGAATTAATAATTCATATATTATTCAAAGAGTGCATTGATATATTGCTAAAGCTGGCACTGTTTTTGAGTAGAGTATTATAAGTTTGGCCTTACATCATATTGTTCAGTTGCATAGCATATACTGCATGATTAAGATGCATATACTCTCAACATAAGTAATTCTAGAAAATTTTAGAAAAGAAAATTTCCTATAAGTACCCTGCACTTCAAAAACTTAAAAAAATATGCAGAAAATAGATATCTAATAAAAATAAGTTTTATCGAAACTGCCATACTTTGATTTACTTATTTTAAAATAGTAACTGATCAAAAATCATTATATATAGCTTCGTTTTGGTTGGAACTTAACACAGACAGTAGAAGAAAACCATATTTTCTGGACGGATCTTTGTATCTAATTTACGCCAAGTTAATTCGTCATTTAAGTATGATAAGTACTTTTGATTGTATGCTACTCTATACGGAAGGTATACGACTGTAAGTTGCATAGCTTTTCACGCAACAGCCTGAGACGAAAGAACAAGTGGCAAGTACAATGACCAATATAACAATAAATACGTAAGCACATAGTTGCGGGAATCTGCCTGGTAGCCATAAAATCGTGAATTCAACGGTTTTCTCTTGAGTATCTGCAATACATACATATATACACATATGTAATTATCTATGTCGATATCCTAGAAAATTTATTTCTATACCTATATAGGCAAGTCCATAACCCATGTGTGGTGTACCCATTCTGTAAGAACAGGTCGGTATTTGTACTTCGTGAATATCCCCTACATCCATTCTTAATTGATAGAGAGGCGTTTGGTATGGTGGGAGAATCCAAATCTCGCTCAACTGATCTGTCGCTGTGTCTAAACTTACATGCATTGCTTTATGCTCGTGTGCAGTGAAAATCACTTGTGGTGATAATTCTTTGATTACCTATAACAAAGCAATGCAGTGTAAATAATTGAAAAGTGTATATATAAATTTTTCTCTTCCTAATATATACATTATATATACATTTTGTACAAAGCTGCCAGGCATAAACAACAAAGGCATATGACTAAGAATAACATTGGTTGTATTCCTTTCTGCGTAATCATTAAGAAATGCATCCTTTGGTGCTTCTGGCATCGTACGCGTCAATCTATTTACCTATAATAAAATACATACACACACACGCACATATTTATTCCTTAAATATGCAAAGATATATGTAAGATATAGATAAAAGTTTCAGATTTACCTTGAAAAAGGTAACAGTTTTGTAAACTAATGTATCTGGTTGAGTATATGCAAAATTGAATCTTTTATGGATATTGGAAGAGACAAGATCATTTTCACCTCCAATGTCATTATCACCTGGTAAGTAAATTTTCTAAAAAAAACGATAAAATAAACTCTATTAGAGTAATAAAACACAAACTCTTTATGAGGAGAACAGATATTATGTGATCAAAGTAAATACCATTATGTCTTCCGGCATTGAAAATATCGAATCCAATCTCCTTTTATATCTTTCAAAATCTTCTGCATTAGCTATATGACCTTCGTCCATAAGATCACCAAGAAAGGCAATGACATGTGGTTGAGAATATTTTACTGCTCTTGAAAAAGTTTTCTCCAAGTACCTGAAAGCATAATAAAAGGTTTAGAATAAAATTGAGATCAATATTGATGAAACAGAATCATACCTGTCACTATCCCATCTTGCTATCCACGATCCAAAATAATTCTCATACTTTTCCCCGAGTATTTGCGGGTCTGCGACAAGCAGAACCTTGACACATTCGGAACACTCGCGCATGGCCCATTTGAATTTTTGTACTTCATATACAAGAAATTCATTGTAAAATACTGTTGCAAGAATGATAAAACCAATGGATATTATTCTGTGCTTCAACCTGTTTAATACAATTTATTAATTATCTACAATTCCTTAATTCTTCCATAATATATTACTAGAAAATAATTCTATAATTTTTATAAAAAATCGAAGACACCAATCATTATATTAACTCATCATTTATTACAATTATATTCTATTTTATTGGTTCAATATATCAAATCATTTATTATAATTATATTCTATTTTATTGGCTCAATATATCAAATATATATCAGCCAATTTGTGAATTTTTAAAACAAAACAATTAGAAAACAATTTATTTGTTTTTAATTAATAATATATTTATTACATTATCAATAATTTGTTGCAAATTTATATTGACAAGTTTCTTATTTTATTTGAATAGAAAATTGATTTACTGACAATTCACAGATTAGTAATCATAATTTATAAATTAACATTCTTTTTATCTTTTGTATATCATGACACTCTAAAATAACTTTTAATTTAATATCGACAATAACAGTTATTGATATTTATAATTACCTATTTCGCCGTAACATCTCTGTGATTTACAGCATTATACGACGTTATGTATAAAATTAAATTTTCAATTCATTCATTAACATATTAAGTAACAGCAATATATCATCCGATTCAATAGCGATCGGCTCGTTGGCACAGTGCAATTTTTTTTTCTTAAGTAGCTTCAACCTGTTAAGTTAATCTGTTCGACACAGACAATTGTAGATTTATATGAGAGATACAATGCAATATTTGTTTCTTTTTTAAGAGAGTATTTTAAGAGAGTATTTTCAATTCTAGAAAGTTATCTAGCACACATTTTGACGTTTATCGATTTCAAGAATTGTCTAATTATCTTTCTTGTCGTTGCAATAAAATTACACTTTTTTTTTCAACCAATTCCATATTTAGGGTGGTCCACTAGCCCCTATCTTATTCAATTCGTTTTTTAGGTTAGCTCTTATCCGATAATAAGATAAGAAAAGACGCGATTACGAGGTGCGCTTAGTAGACTTCGGAAACATAATTCTCTCTATTTACTATCGTATCACTATTGATCCCCGAGATCTATAAAAGCAAACTTGCGCGCATTAGATTCATTATACCAGTAAAATAATTAAAAACGGAAAACCTTCAACATACATGCATAAATAAGGATATATGCGTCACAACTATATTTATAAATCAATCTATATACGTTATATATTATTATATTATTATAAATTATATATATTACATATATATTATAATATTACATATTACAAATGTTTATTAAATTTTATTAAAATTAAATTCAATAGGAAATGGGCAAACACAATGAATCATGAATAATTATAAGATTTGTTCTTTTTAGCTGAATTAGAACGGAATAGTATATTTAGAAGTTCGAAAGAAAGAAAGGAAAAACGAGGGAATGCTAAAAAGAACAAACTTATAGACGTGCAGAGAACGTCAACCTATATTCAGGTGTATCTTATATACAGGATAGTCCAAAGTGATGGTGTCAGTGCTTTCGAATTATCCCCAAGCTCCATTGATAATCACAAATTGTATCAAAAGCTTTGGATTTTTATTTTATTTTAACATTATTAAAAAAAACTTAAATATTTAATTTATTTACGTATCCGAAGAATAATATTTTGCTTTATATATCAGGAAACATAAAGATAAATTTTAATTTCGTGCGGCAAAAGCCCCATTCTGGGGCCCCCGTAGATGCCGGCCCTGATCTGCTACATATGTCAAATGTTTACATGCGTCTTTCACGGCTCGATCGGCTTCCGCCCATTGCCAGTACAAGTACACCTACGCGCTACGCGTTTCACGGGCTCGTTTCGTGGCTCTCGAAAAGGGCAACGACAACGACAACGTTCGAAAAAAAGGGAGCAATTTCACGGGAACGCACGACCTCGTGAAAGAAATTCTCGTCGTAAGGATGGGTAGCTACGCGAGCAGAATCGCATCGATGTCCAACACAGCCGTCCACCATGTGTATCGGGGCTGTAAGCGCAAGTACATTGAGGAATATGACTGCAATTCCGAGTCCGATTATATCGAACGAACGCTGCATACACCGAAAAAGTAAAATCTCATTCTTGATCGTTTTCCCTGTATTTTATTACCCCGCGATATATTATCGCTTGTCATTCTCGCGGGAATGTACTTAATAATAAATATCATTAATATTTCGTGAATTGTATTGCCGATGTCACATCTCGAATGCCCTGTTTGCAGGAGAAAATTGCTCACGACAGCGCAGTACATATACAAAACTCTATTCCAAGAAGAGAAAGGCAGTGACATAACCGTCCTCATATTGGGAAAAGCATGGAGATTACATAAAGTTTATATTAGTCAGGTATGACTCACACAAAGGCGCGCGCACTCCTTAACATACACAAATACACAATACAATACAAAACATAACATATAGTATTTGTACACATAGTATGTTTTACTCCTTTTAATATCTCACTTCTACACATATAAAATTTCAATAACAGATTCTTTGATAATTTTGTGATGTATATTTTTGCTTAATAGATATTCAATATAATATTTTGTTATTTAGTGTAATTTTTTACTTTTCAATCTTAAATATCTTTGAAACTACAAATATTATATACACACACACACAAATTTAATTGTTAGAATAAAATTTATTATTCGAAGTTAAGTGGAAAATATAAAGTTTTGTTATTTTCTTCTAATTTATAAGTCTTGTTTACAAAAATTTATGCACTTTAAGTTTATAACTACTAAGTATTTTCATTGCTGTCGCAATATTTTAGAAAAATATCAATTTCACATAGAGTATAAGAGAGAGTGTGAAAGATAAAAGAATGCGTCATTGAATTTGTCAATTGCATAATTTTGATTATACTTTAGATAATTAAATAACACAATTTTAATGCAAGATATATTTTCTTTGCAGAGTCCATACTTTGCTAGTATGTTTTCTGGTTCTTGGAGAGAGACTAATGAGAAAGTCATTAATGTAGAAATCACAGATCCTAACATTACAATGAATTGTAAGAATATATTACCTTATTTCTAATTAAAATATAGATAATAACTCTTACATGTTATATAAAAAGTTTAAAGATATACAAATGTCATTTAAAAAGAATATTTATAATTGTTTCAGCATTGTCTACAGTGTTAGGCTCGCTCTATCAAGATGAAGTCACTTTGGAGCCAAAAGAAGTTGTTTCTATTTTGGCAACATCTGTTCTGTTTCAATTGCAAGGCTTAATAGACGAGTGTGCAGACATTATGATAGAAACTACAAACAGTGAGACTGTTGTGCCATATTATAATGCAGCTGTGTCATATGGCGTACCTACTGTGAAAGCAGCTGCAAAACGATGGTTGGAAGTCAATTTATTGAATTATGGATGGCAACATCCACCTTTTTTAAAAGAAATTGCACCAGATTTAATGGCAGAATTAGTTGTCAGTCCTGATTTAGTTGTTTTGCAAACAGAATTTTGCATATACCTGATGTTGCGCATATGGTAATTTTATAAGTGTGTTCATATATCTTATATATTCAATTTTTAAAAATGTAGAATAAATGCTGTATCTTATGTATATATATGCTTTATATTGTCATGTAGGTTATTTTCGAATACACACGATTACGACGATACGTTGAAAATAGACGATTACTTTAAAAATCACAAATGGACTGAACCGTTTTTAACAACCGATGAAGGCAGAGAGTATGCAGCGCCCTTCAAGGCACTAAAGATGAAATATTTGCTTTTACACGAACAAGATGACAAGATATTATATAATGATAATGTAATACCACCAGATTGGCTGTATAATGCTTATAGAGAACAATGGCATCACTTATTAAGAGTTGATGGAAATCTAGACAGAGGGTAAGCTTGTCAAAGATTACAATTGAATTTTTCTTAAATAGATTTAGGTAAACTAGACTATCTTTTTTTTCTTTGATACACAGTCCAGTGCAGATGACAGAAGAAGAATTTTCAAAAGAATGCTTTCGATGTGGTAGATGTATCGAAAAGCCAGGAGAACATACTTGGAGATGGAAAGCATTCCATTATGGACTAGATTTAGTAATGACTGTAGATACAACTAGCTTGCGTATTATGAGAAATCACAGAGCAGACACAGAGCATATTAAGGCCAATCATAAGGAACATAAAATTCTGATAAAGTAAGCTTGAAATTATCAGCTTGGATTTAAGAATGAATTAGATTAAGAATAATAACAAAAATCAAATTTTTCAATTTTAGAGTCCGTCTATTTTCATTGGATGAGCAACGTCAAGTGAAACATGTTCAAAATTCGGGTATGCTAAGATTACGTTTGAGGAAGAATACAGAAGTAAGTTGTCATTAAGGGCGATCTTATATAATATAATTTATATAGAATGTGATATATAATATGTTATTTTTGCATCAGCACATCTTTTTCCAGCATGAGATAATGTCTCTGGATAAGCAGCTAACTTATCCCTTGTACATATCAGTCAACATGCAACTAGTCACACCACTCACATTGGAAGAAGAGATGACATCGGCCGACGTCGTATTTTCAGATACTTAGCATTTCAAGAATATCATATTTTATGTAAAGGTAAAGAATGTCGAATTTTCTCCATCAATTGACGCTTTGTAACATATTCCATTTGATTATGAATGTTGGATAAAAACGTAGGCACATGTTACTATTTGGCACAATACTTAATTAGGAAGAGATACAAATCTTTAGTAGAGATTGCACAAATTCTTTCTCTTACAGTAATATATAGGGTCCATTTTTATTGTACAAGTCTTTTAATATCAAATTCTTTTGTCAATTTGGACTCGACTGTTTTTTAAGTGAAAATTTTCTGTTGTTACTGAGTATAGTTAACGGTTGAGAATATAACAGAAAATTTTAAATTTGGAAATTAAATCAATAATATATTATATTTTTTAGTTAATTTTGAGTAAACTATAACAGAATTTTAATTTTGAAGATATATATAGTTTATTATGAAGATGTATATAGTAATAAACATAACTATCAAGATTGGAAAATTGTGAGAAATAATTACATTTTTGATCTTTTTGCTAAGAGAAAATCAATTTTCTTTCCAAATTGGTCAAAGAATCTACCATCAAAAGGTAACACAGTAAAAATGGAACTATATATACTTCTTTCTGTATATACTTTTATATCAATGTATATTGAATTTGATATAATTGATGCATTTGTGACTCTATGAAAGTCATTCCAACAGCTGGCAAAAGATCTATCATTAGATAGATTTTAATCTTTCCCTCTAATCATTCCTAAACATGTTTCTTTGGATTGAATAAAAATGTATAATAAAAATGATAATTTACTAGATTTTAGAAACATTGCATAATCAGAGAATTCTGTTTGCTTCTTTAATACTTTGATTTATTTTTATAATTAGTTTATATATAATTTTGAAATGACAAATAGTTTTAATAGAATATATAGAAATCGACTCATTCTTTTTCAATGTTTACTGACAAACTGTAATTACAACGTAATCACTTGATTTCTGTATTATTTTTTAGAGACAAATATTAAAACAATGAGATAACTATTTTAATTTGTAAAACTGTTTGCATATCACAAGGGATTATTGCAATATTAATCTTTTTTTTTTATGTATTCACACACAAGAAGAAGATATATATTTATATGTATATGCATAAAGTTACATATATTTATAAGAAAATTAAAAAAAAACTTGATGATTTATATTCTCTATTTGCCAGACAATGCTAGAAAAAGACAATTTCATTAATATAACACATTATGTAAGAAAGAGGGAGTGATCGAGCACTTTTCTGTCTTCCCAGTAAAGAATTTTCTTCGATATATTCTGGTGCCTGTTTCATATCTATCTACCGAAAAAGAAACTAATGCGTATAAATGAATTAACTTTCATAATACGCAAAAAACGATAACTTTTGTAGAATTTTTTTTTGTAAAAAGATTTTTTTACACTACTACGACAGTCTTTCGGTAAAATTATAATAAATTTTATAGATACATGCAGTTTATGTGTGATTTCTCATGTACCTATGCACACCTTTTTACCTCCTACCTTTTTAAAATGATCTTTTCAACATATTTGCAATTCAAGTTTAATTAATCGATTTAATTATAATTAATATTAGTAGTTCTGATGTAATAATTACTTGTATTGATTTCCATATAAATTTCAAAATTGAATATTATCTTATACTAACTATTTATTAGTGTTCAGAGAAATTTTTGTATGACATTGCAATGCATTTTTCGCTAAAAAACGGGTATGAAGATTTGCAAAAGGAATACACTACATACCCTCATTAATCGCTCAACACTTTATTATTGGCAGAATACTCTTTCTTTTTCTTTCTGTACAGAATATATGATATTGTAATGTTACATTCGTGTGCGCGCGACACACAATGAACATTACGACAGATTCAATGAGATTTGACATAGGCATTCTTTTGATATCTGTCATAGACAATAAAAGGCATTCTATGAAAAATCTCAGAATTTTGCAATTTTTTCATTTTCTACAACGATCGTCAAACTCCGTTTGTCATATTATTAAAGTCGATCTTAATTAACGCATTAATATTGGAGATAATTTCATATATATAATTTCGAGTATGTATAATGTAACTTCAACGGAAAAGCGTTGTTCTAGTTTAAAAATAGTGATCTATATATAACTGGAACACTTTCATATAACAATATAATAAGCATATGTAATATATTTTTGAATATTATAATACTTTACATATCGTTATTTTCAAGATATGGCAGCGTTTTTTTGATCGACATAGATATTATGGCAGCGTTTTTTTTAGTAATTAGAGTATCACGTTTGCTAAATATATAAAGCTTGTCATATTTTTTCATTTAGAAAAGATTATAAAATTAATTAGGTCATATGTGAGCAATTACATATACTCGTATATTTCGCATGTGCAGTTAAGGTGCGAAAAATATGAATGTCATAAGCATATGACTGCAGGAAGTTTGAAAAATGAACAAATCATATCAAGAGATTGAAATAGTTGAAAAAATCCGATAATGGCTTAAAAAATATAAATTGAAGCAGGATATATACATTGTATATATTCGTAATTGCGTGAAATTTTGCATATATTGCGGAACATTTGGATATATACGCAGATTCAAGATATCCTTGTAATACGATCGTCGTAGCCATTCTCGAGAAATAATGAACTGTCACAGCAATAATATCCTTCTGTAATCTCTCGACGTGTCCCAACATACATATATCAAAAGAATGCAAGTCAATCTCGACAACAAGAACTCCATATTTTTTCTAATTATGAAGTCGTAATATTTCCAATGACGGAATAAAATCATTCATCTCGAAACGACAAAGGTAAGAGAGAGTGTTGGAAGAAGGTAAAGTTTTTTGTTTTATTATCAAATTTGCTAATCAACGAAAATTGTTTCTAGTGTTAAATATAGAGTATTGCAGCCAATACTAAAATCGTGTGATTAATTTATAATCTTCGATAGCATTGAAATTTCAATTATTTACTCTCTGTGTCTACACCAAACCTTTTCCCCTTTACCAACTCTTTCTCTATTTTTCCTGTCGTTTCCAGTCATTTCCAGTCTTAACAATACCATCACGTCCATCAAAAGATTGTTGCCATTTGCGCTCTAATGATAATAATTATTAGCAGTATTATTTGTAACAACAGGTCGCGTTAATTTATACGTACTAACAATAACTATAATAGTAATAAGTAGCGGCGGTAATAGTAATTAGTAACGATCGTATTAATGGCAATAAAATGGCGATGACGGGTGGTGGACAGCAGCAACAGTGACGATCTCACTTTGTAATACTACTATGTGACATAATTTATACCGATAAAGCACGCTATTCCTCTCTCCTTTTCACCTAGTTTTTTTTTTGTCGAAAAAAAACCTAAATCTACTCACTTCCTCGTTATATATGTTATTGCTCATTCGTCATTTGCTTCTACCGCACATTGCTGTATGTTTTGTCATCATTATTACTATTATTATTAGCATTAGTATTATATAGAGTGTTCGATCATTACAGTACAAACACATGTGGCAATTATCGAAAAATGTAATACCTTTTTATCTTGTTAAAAATGTAAAGACATGAATGAATTTTTGAGCTGTGATGAAGAATGGTTTTCATAACGAATTAATAAATTAAGAAGAACATGATTTTTAAATATCAGTTTGAAGTACAGAGTTACCATGATCTTTAAAATTTTATAAATCGGGCGTGTAAGAAATATGACATTTGATTAAATACCGACAAAATTGTTTCAGTTTTTTCGACCAGGTATAACGATGGTCACCACAAATGCGTTTATTACCGAACACCCTGTATTTGCCCTCTTAATTTTGTCGTCCGCGAGCAAAAAGAGCAGCAACAAATTATTAAGGGCCGGTTTTTCCAACGTCGGTCAACTTATTTGATCTCTCTGTTTATATTATGGCCAGTGTTGTACGATCTAAAAAGAGAGATGAAGGAGATTTATCTATTAGATAAATTAGCGAAAACTTTATATACCCGAAGGTGCAACAACCGGCCCTATTGAGCTATCGAGTTTAGCGTCACGCTCAATTATTATTACGACATACACAGACACTCAGCCATACATGTATTATCACACATATGCACACACGCATACACAAATGGCGGTTATTGTACGCTCAGGTGACTCAAACTGCTTACTCTGCTTAAACTGCACTTATTGCAAACTTTTGCGAAACACGGAATAATCGTGGACGCGATGGTGGATTTTCAACCCTTACTAGAGCTAAATGCGAGGTTTCTCTCGGCATATCGTCGATATGTTATGTACTGTTCTTTACATAGCCCGCTTTACGTAGCACTAGTATCTTAATGCGTTAAGGTTTACCTTGAATCGGTTAAAGAGGAGATAGATTACATCCATTCAGATTTTACATCTTGATTTAATATCGAAATAATTTTGATATCTTTAAATAAACGTAATGATTTCCCAAAAATAAATTTTAATAAATTTATAGTATTTTTTAAATAATAATTATTAATTTTATACATATATATATTTAAGAAAATTGATAAGAGAAATATTATAATTTACATCTTGCGAAATAATTTTGATATCTTTAAATAAACGTAATGATTTCCCAAAAATAAATTTTAATAAATTTATAGTATTTTTTAAATTTTTTAAATA